AACAACCTCGTTGCTCGAGCATGGAAACATACAGAGTGGCCAAGAAAAGAGACACTTTACTCCACATTCGAACGGCACTAATAGCACTCCGGTGAATTTAAACCGTATGATCTCAGCTGAAGGTTGAAGAGCATATTCGCCCTATGTACGTGGTCCTTGACGGATCATGGACCATTACGACGATATTAGACGCTCCAGGTATACAAAAGTAGTTCTTTGCGCTAATCTCAAAGCTACATCGTCTCTGTGGCAAGCAAATAATCCATATAGCTCAAAAGCGGCCCAATCCAGGCCAGAGGTCGTAAAACCACTAGTGAACGCTTGCTCTTCTGGTTTGTGGAATAGAACCCCTAAAGAGCAGGACAAATCACAAATGCGTCGGCGGTTCTCGTCGCCGGAAAACACACATCTGGCAATGCATAAAGAGCGTCATCTTAGGCGCCGGTGCAGTTAGCACAAAGAAAGAGAAGACAATGGTCCCAAAGCTAAATACACTATCTATTTCTATTAAATAAGGGGACATAAGTCTGTCCATGGCACCCGCCAGGATCTACTCCATCACTCATTATGTATGCGGCTATCTCGCAATCCCAGATAGTTTCTTCCTTCACAGGCGCGTTAGTCCTAATCAGCTGCAACTAATAGACCAAGAGAAAAAAAGATATTAGAGAAACACCAATACAACAGATGAACAATGAAGTCCACAATCATAAAAGACCAATCTAATAATCAACACAGTAGCCACACCACATGTATATCATAGCGGAATGACTGTTAACTAACCCAAAGAAATTATGGTTAGCTCGAATGCAGGCCGTACCGAACAGACACACTATGGAACTTTGCAAGCAATGAAGACGGCGATACCGTAGAAGCTGACGGTTTATAATAAATCAAGGACAATGAAATTCCGAAGAAGAACGATGCGGTTGACCAAGGCGCGAGTGCAACTCTACCCCCGTGGATGGAATTGCCAGCGAAATTTTGCAGCCGGCAACGACCAAGAAGACTTCCTCAGTGAACTGCAACCAAAGTGCAGCAGGTTAAGAGCTTAGCTGATATGAGCATGAGCTAAGTGTCTCAATGTATAAGGCAACTGGCGATATTTGCATCTGTCTGAAGAGTATTTATACTGAAAATTAGCGAAAAAAACCCACTTGTTCGAGCTGTTCCTTGTCAAACTTTTCTGTAAAGGCAAGAAATGTCTTACATAACAAGCAACCAGAAATGCACTCGGAATGGGATTCGTTGCAACTTTGCTCCAATTACGATACGGAAAAAATTTTTTCCTGTCTCAAACACGCTAGAGAAAAATAAGTACACAATGTACTATAAAGCACGCATTCCCTCATTGATCCCCAGCTTTTTCTCGTAATTCTTATAAGGAGAAAAACAAACCAAAGAGGTCAAACAAGAGACTGAATTTATAAAGGCTACACAAAGCGCCCGATCAATAGCCAACGGCCAAGCTGCGTGCTGTATCTCACATTGCCACGCGCACTAGTCGTCACAACATAAAGCGAATGTAACATTCGCTGAGATGCAAGCCTCAGAGCTAGAACATGAGCACAAAGAACTCCCTACTCCAGACGAACTTGTTTTGCTCAGGTCAAGCACCAAATAAATTGCTTATTCCCATTCGCCTTAGGTGCGCAACGAACGAAATTGACAATCAGCTTCAATTCTGAGACGCCTTCCCGATTCGCAATCCCTTACGTTTTGAAGAACTGGCACTTAAAAGTAAGCTGAGTATTGCGGGCAGGTGATGAACATAGGTGGTGAATATAAACTTGATCGAGATTAGGGGATAAAAAATTAAAAATAAATCAAAGTCATTTAAAGGTGAAGGCAAGCCTCTTCCAGACTACCGTTAAAACGCGGCCAACATAAAAAAGTTTCTTGCAGAAAAACAGCGTGCCATCGTCACCTAGGCCGTCTCCGCCAAAACGAATGGATCGCACTCGTCTATTTTTTGAAGACCCACATTTGAGTTTATAAATGATTATTGTACAAATATAATAATTATATGGTATTTACTTGTTTTTGAAACTGCAATTCCAATCGAAACGAATAGCGCAATGTTTGTGACGCAGATTGGAGATTGCAGAGCATTTTATGATGCAGAGAATTGACGGAACACAAAAAACAAGAGAAAAGACAAGCAAAGAAGACAGCCAAAGAGTGACAAGTCGTAGAAAAAGGTTATAAGTCATTATAGTTTTCTGGGCAGAACGTGTTCAATTCTAAGCTGGTTCGCTCATTCCTTCGGAAGCCTGAGATATGCTCTAATTAAACATCCACAATGTCCAGAAGGCAGTTTCTGCCAAGGCTGTCTTCCAAGCAGCGACTCCCAGACCATAAGGCGCTGCTCAATATATTTCCTATGTCATACCCCACAAACCAGGCATTTTGATGAGCAATAGATGAGCAGTGTCTGGAGGCTCGGTTCTCTGGGAGTGATTTAATCGCAGAACTAACCGGATTGTGCCTTCTTTCGACCGATAATCGCAAAAATGTAGTAGATTAGAGGAAATCAGGAAAAATAATCGAAACGGAGTCTAACAAACTAACTTCTTTTGAACGTCCAAAAATTCCTCGGTACGTGTTCCTGTTATGGTAAGCACCGTATGTTATTTCGTTTTCTCGGACAACGTGCTCTACTTTGTGTTCTGCCACTGCGAATCTTCTTTTTTCTGCCGCAACATCGACTGATGGCATGCTTAAATTTCGGTCACTCAAAGGACTATTTGCTATCTTACTTCCTTTGAATATTAGGTTGTTCTCAATTATCATGGTCTAATTTCGACTTACTCTGTATTACCCAAGTTTTATATCCTATTCTAACGGGACCCCAATACAAAACTAAATCGAGTAGCAATAAAACTACCACAGTAGGTACACAGTATATGCGTGGCGGCTAGTTGCCTACGGTGACAAGCCGTCTGGGAATCTACTACAGCCACCAGCAATGAAGGAAGCTGGGGCGTTGTAAGAAATTTTGATAGTAAGCTGTTTGTTGGAAGGTGGTCGCAAATCGATTCAATTATTCTTGCTCTAGGCAAGAAGATGACTATAATTCAACAGAAGCGCAGGAAGGCGAGGCGACAGTCCGAACATGCCAACTACATTTATCGCAATGGACGAAACGAGTTAATAATGCCAGCGAAGCTGTCTCCTCAGAAAGCGGTGGCGAGTTGGCAACATATTCAATAGTGTATGTATGAGACGATAGCATCGAGAAAACAAGGAAAAGGAGTCTTGAGAAGTTTCATAAACGATGCCCTCGACAATCGCCGAAGCCACCATTGGACAGGAGACTATTACAACGCATTGACTTCAGCATAGCTTGTCTTAACCATTACATTGAAGGTGGCGTTCCATATTAAGGGCACCTAGCGAATCACAGGACGAGAGAGATATCGCTATAGAAACGTGAGTTTCGGGATTTAGGTTTGACGAGGTGCTTCCTGAATGATAGCGAATGGTAGGCATATCAGCAGGTGCCGTTGTAGTCTGTTGTACGCAGTGTGGACTCGATGACCAATCAATGTACAATGAACGGCGAACGAATTTAGAAGAAATGTCTGCTGTTTTGCAACCAAAAAAACAAATCAGTCACCAATGAATGAGCATTTATCCTACAGCAAACTAGCGGTACAGGCTCGTTACAACCGCTTCATGAGGTCAGGCCCCGGCACGATAGGTTTCTACATTCAAAACGTCACATATTATTCAAGTGTAGTCCTACCGTACAATATGAGCATGTGTTCTGGGTGCCATCGTGCGCGCTTCCAGCTAAATCGTGCGTACCATACAATCCTAGATTAGCAAAGCGTTACGGAGGAACTTCCCAAAATTTAATAAGAGGTGCTCAGCGGTGCGCATCAGATACAAAACATTGACCGCGGCAGTATAGTGCATGAAGAGTTCATAGTTCAACCGTTTCGTCTTGGCACGTTCAAGGACTGGGTCAAATAACTTCGTATACCATACATTAGTTACGAAGTTGCATACGAGTTCATTTGAGGATCGTAAAGCATAATCATTCATTATAGTCACTGACCTATTTTTATTCCTAGTTGATTAACCCATTACGGGCTTGCGCTTCCGAAACCATGCTGTTAAGGCTCTTGAAGCATACTTCAACATACTAACGTATTTCGCAATGAAACGGTCTTAGACGGAAGGAATTTGAAATTGAATAGAAATGAGACAGGAATTATGAGACAACCCAATAGCTTCCATTCTTATAGCAAAGATTTTGGTATTTACGCTAAGTATGATGAACATATCATTACACCGCTCTTGATGGCTCTCTAACCATTCACATCTATCACTCATTTCAGAATTGGCTGTAGGGGCTCCAGGCAAAACGGTGGCGCCTCATTCGTTCTGTCGCACTGGGAGATTCTCACAGAATGCCTCTGTAGGCATTGCAAGCCTGCAACAACTCATTCACCTTTACAAAGGTACAAATTTCGTGAAATTGCTCTTCTTCCCATAAGTTCTGTCCCCCGACAACTGCCAAAACCTCTCTTTCCCTACACATTCTTGCAGACGGGTACCCGACAGGAGGCCCGTCGCGCGGCAAGAAGGCAGAGTCAGCGGACGAGTCGCAGCGCGTGATGTGCGATGTAGGACGTACAATGGTACATTCTATTAACTTGACGCGAATCCTACAGTACGCGCTGCGACTCGTCCGCTGACTCTGCCTTTGTTTCCGCGCGACGGGCCTCCTGTCGAGTATCCGTTGCAAACATCATGACCCACTTGTGTATAACAATCGCCAAATTCGTCTACAGTTCTTGAGTTCGTGTCTTTTTGAGGATATGTGGGTTGCGGGAACGCTACAGCACAGTGACTTGAAGGTAAAGACATTTCTTGGCTTCTTTGGTCGAAGCTTTATTAGCCAAGATCTTGTTCGACTCTCGCGTGGTACCACCCATTGTGCTTCTGAAGGGAGAATACATGGTGCTGCTCCTACACTGGAACTTCTGGGTCTATTCACATGTCGAAGACTGATGCAGAGACGGTATGAAAGGAGAGGACACTAAATATAAGATGTCGGAAAGATTAAGCTGGAAGCAAGAAATAACAAGAGTGCAGTTAAATTTTAAAAGGTTAATGGAACCAGCTGCACAAGTTACAAGCCAGTCGTCGACATTGCTGTAACTGAGTGACCGGTTGATAATTTCGAAGTGCTATGTTAAAGCTAGTTAAAGGAATCTTGCGCGGAAAAATCATGATTCTATTTCAGCCATAAATCACTGGCTTGAGACTCATTATCCACGATAATAGTGAAAAGAACTGAAGTATTGCTTTCGTTTTGATTAGAAATTCGAAAACTCGAAAAGGCTGCTACGCGTTCGAATTGCCCACGGACGTCTTTCACGAATGCTGGCGACGGGGATGCTCAAACTTGGTTCTTGGAGTGCATTCACTAGAAGCTCTTTCTGGCCTTCTGCTTCGTTGCATTCACATCTTACACTTCTACTCCATCCTATTCCATCGATCGATTTGTCTCCACTCTCCGAAATCGCGCGCTTTAACCCGATTCTCTCATTGCGTCGCCTGGTACGTAGCCGGCCAAACGCCGTCTTCTTTCCATGCCTCGCCTGGCTCTGCCTCCTGGTCCTTCGATGGTCCATAACGTGTAGTTTTTGTACGTTTGTTTCTCTTCAGAAACCGAATCTTCATGCGTGAAACTTTGTGTGCTATTTCCAGTGATCACAACTGACATATTCATGTTAGGAAAGAGTGCAAGAATTTTCCGCGCAAGATTCCTTTAAAGTGGCCTCAGAAGGTATACCCTGAGCTTCCTTGACTTGCTGCTGCTTGAGGATGCCCGTTTTAGATCTCCTTTCCCACTCTTCCCGATCGCTTTCGAAGCTCTTCGAATCTCTGTAGCTCATACTTCTTGGAGATTTACGACGTGACTGCAAAAATTTTGATTTTCATCTAGTGCACTTTGGAATGTGACATAACAAATAACACATCTATTCTCAAAAGCATCGGGAATTACGAAACTATTAGGAAAAAAGTTTTAAAAATGGTAAAAGCATAAAGCATTTCGCCCTGATCAATCCCTTTTTCGAATGCGAAACGCAATTCCACCTCTATTGTACCATTTGGGCGTAGAACCCCAGGAGCGGAAAAATGCTTAAAGTGTGGAGGTTGGCCCAGGCGGCGCACCACCAGGATTCGATCCCCGGACCGCGCGCATGGTGAGCAGTGCCACTTGCCACTACACCCCGTCCGCCCAGGAAAAAATATTGGGAAATAATTTAAGGGCAGTGATTGCGATGGCTGACGATGTCACTGGACGTTGGTGGACCACGGGTTTGGGGTGTGGTGAAAACTATCTCATGACAACTTTCTATCAATGACGTTCGATGGCGCCATCAAAACCGCAATGCCCTCCAGCCATTTTGTTCCAGCCTTCCGTGATCGCTGCCTTCAGATAGAATTACGATATAATTATGTTTTCATTGGTAAGCTTCACGCTCTAACATGGAATTCTTCTGGGTCGGGGTCAAACAAAGTTGCGCGTGTGTTGGAATCAGGGATTAATTGGAAAACCTGGGTGCGATACCAGTCAAATAATACGAATTGTGCTCCAGACAACCATATTTACTGTTGCGTTTATGCTGTAGTTGCGATGCAAAGTAAACCATTGTGGTCATTTCTGCTTAAATTGCGCTTTTTCTGCCACATTTACTGCGTCATCGCATTGATGGCAGCGCTATAGACAATCAACGACAACGATCCGTACGCTCCGATGAACGAATGGCTTCCAAAGATGGAACTCCATTTAACAGGTGTCAGACTTTATAGGCTGTCGCAAATCAAGGTGTCGCTTGAGCTGAATAGGGAAACGACGAAGCTGCGTCAGATCTGATCTGCATTACTAATATGATATAGTCCTAAACATACTTCACTCTCCGTATGAAGGAGTTCGTAGTCTTTCACCTTGCTCTTCTTCACCGGGTACGCCTAAAATGAGAGAGCGTGGCATTTCTGGTTGCTTTCCTCAGAGTGAGCAAGAGTGAGAAAAACAGTGCTCACACGGAAATGATTTATTGCCACTAGAATCAACAAAAGAAGCCATAGAATGGAGCCGTACGTGTAAATCTGCAAACATCATTGGATTTTGGCTTCATTGTCGATAAATGTTCAAAAACTAAAATAGTTCAATTGTCACCCGTCTACATGGACAAAGGAAGGGTGAAGGTCGTGAAGTGGAAGCCTAATTCTTGAATGTTTATAGCCAACTGAGCACTGGCATTACGATTTCATATTCCTTACCGCCTCAGAATTGTTCGTACAGTTCCAAAGCTTTGCATAGCAAGTCATTGTATAATACCATGAGTAACAGAAGGACTAGTCGTCTTCCCTAATGCTTTGGTAGGCAGTCTATATACGTGCGGAGGGGGGATCGTATTCGCAATGTTGGTAGGGGAGGCGTTGTTGATGATGAGCAAGATTACTTATTTTATAGAAAAGTTGCGAACGTGGAGGGTCGTATTCTGGTATTTGAAGGGGTCGTGGTTGTGGAAAGTCAGAGTCGATTTGACAGGTTTTTTTGACAAATTGGCGAAAACTTCGCGGATGGGGAGGGGGTGTAATAGGCAAAATTGGAGGATCCACCGTTTTTAGGACACTATACTCGCTTGCCGCCCTCGCTTCCCCACTCGGTGCCCATTATGGTGGGAGAAGTGGCGCAGTAGAAATGTGTGCTGGTCACAGGACCGAATCTATAGAAAAAGTCATGGCGGTCGTGAGGGAGGAGGGTCGTATTAGGGGGCTTTTAAAGCCTATAGTGGCAGGGGATTTGCGAAATTTCTGAACACGGTCAGCGGTTGACTCTGGTTGGGTTGGTATGATACCAGAGTGCTTCCACCTCTGGCAGTGGTACGGTATTCAAAGGCGCCTTTCCATGGACAGTGACTTATAGCTCTGGAGTGGTCTTGAGAGCAGAGTCGAGAAAATTCAC